GAAATAATTCTTTCCCCAGTGCATTACCTTAGTCAATATACATCATTTTTATGACTTAGACTTTTTCCATATACAGGTAAGTTCGACCCTCTGCCCCAGGAGATGGGTGAAGGGATCATCACAGGTGCATGAAAACCAGAACCAAGGTCGAGCGCAGTGTCTCCTGAAATAACATCAAAGGTCAGATCATAAAACCACTTCCCTTTTTTTGACTATTTTATTTCTTTGCCTGGAATGAATTCCATACCAAAGACATGGTGGAAGATAAAAGACACTTAGGAAATATTTTCTAGGAAGTGGCTCTTCCGTGTTGTCAAAAAGGAAAGTTGGAAATGCGTCTGTACAAATAAATATAGGCACATTTATACAAATTCCTTGTAATTATCATCACTGGTGATGAAGTATGGCTCCCCTCATTAAATTGTTCATTTCTGTTAGAATATTAATATAAGGATCAACAAGACCCAGTTTTTCTTTGGAGTCAACTACTTCATTTAATATTAAATTTTCAACTAGTTTTTTTTCCCCCCAATAATCCTCACTCGAGGATATTTTTCTATTTATCTTCAGATAAGTGAAAGGGAGGGAGGGGGAGAGAGAGAGAAACATTGATGTGAGAGAGACACATCGATTGGTTGCCTCCTGCATGACCCCGACCAGGGCCAGGGACGAACTGCAACCCAGGTATGTGCCCTTGATCAGAATCAAACCTGCAACTCATTGGTCTGCAGGCTGACACTTTAACCAGTGAGCCAAACCGAACAGAGCTCAACTAGTTTTCTTTTAAATTATTCTTAAAATGTGTGCCTCATGAAAGAAATGTGTTCTACATATGATAGAAATGAAATATACTAATTTCCATTCAGTAAAATTGTGTAGGTAATTTATAAGAGTAAGATCTTTCCCCCCATTTTAAACTATAGGCTGAATAACAAAGGGCAGAAAATGCTAATATTTATCGACTAGATGCTTAGCAAGATTGTAATTCTCTGTTCCTTTCTGTGTATTTAAATGTTTGTTCCTGAACACACATGTTCGCCTTTTTCCCTTGTCTTCCTCCCCTTATTGTATGGTGCGGGGCTGGAGCGATACAAAGTGATTTAAATACACTTAGTCTCAAGCCTTTAGGACATTCAAGTGGTCCTTTTAGCCTGTGGAGGAGCTCGCTACAAAGCTGGAGTCACCTGGAAGCACTGAAGCCATTGAGTCGTTGTTGGCTAATGTTAGAAAGCAGGAGACTGAAGTCTGTTTTCATAGCAGCTAATGAGGCATCTAACGATTCACATGTCACTCTACAGCTAACCTCATTAAGACCTAGCATCTTGATTTTATAAATGTCCTGGTGTAGCTGGACAATTGTATGTTTTTATTTAATTGCAACAAATAACAAAGCTTTGTACCAGATTCAAATATGCAAAAAGCCTCTTATGATCCATGTTTTCTAAGTGTGCAAATACATTCCTGAAGAACAGCATGAGAGAGGTGGACTCTGCATCTTTTTTTTTCTTAAAAAAATCCAATTTTGGGCTTATTTGAGAGTGGACTGTGCCAGCAAATTAAATGCACCATTGACTACATTTTCATTAAGAGATTATTGCCAGCTGCCTTATTTAGTGTACGTTTATTAACTACTGCAGCTTCCATCTGAATACTCGTAACTTAGGTATTTACGGGGCAGTCATAAAGCATTCGATTGCCCCTGTTATTTTTCCACAAGAGAGCATGGGGCGCTAACTGTAAGAGGGTAAATTAAGGGGAGGAGAATCTGAGTAGCTTCTAGGCATTTGAGAAGCCTACGCATTTGATTTTCAAATTGCTGCTGAGGGGCAGCTCCAGAATTTGGTAAATGCGAGCTTGCTCCCTGAATGGCTCAGGGTTCATCAGAGAGGCCAGAACCTTGACCTGCTTGGCCTCCGTGCCTGTGATCAGGTAAAAGATACCCAGTAAGTACCTGCTGAATAAATGAAAGGAGTAATGAGTGGAGAATTATAATTTGGGGCCTATATTCTCCCTTTTATGTCTTTGAAAAACAACACATGTTTTTTCATACTTAGATCTTATTTCAACATGGTGATCTACAGGTTGACTGTGCAGTTATCTGCAACACTACACCACCAATATGTATGTATACACACGTCATAACATATTGGATACAAATTCGCAATTAGACCCGGAAACTGCAGGAAATGAGAACTACGTAGGTTTTAAAACTGTGCAAACCACTTGGGAAGATGGGTATTAATAAGGTGGGCTCCAGAGAGATGGTTTTCATCAGTCACCATCTCTGTTACGTGGAAGCCCTTTTCCCTTTACTTTTCTGGTTTAAATCTATTCCCCAGACCTGGCTGATTGAACTTTTCTGAAACGTGCTGGGCAGAGAACCTCGCGTCTTCTCTCAGCTTGGAAATAATCACATCTTCACATTTTCATGGCCTTTTCCGAAATGGGGACCTTTCATTTATGTTTCACTCTCAATTGAAATAAATTGATTAACGTTGTGGAATTGTGTTTCACCACAGACCTTTTGAAACAAAAAGCTGCTTTTCTGAAGTGTAAAGGGAACAGATTGTCCCAGATTTCTTTATTCTCCAAGGACTCGGGGGTGAAGGAAATGTTTTATCATTACATGTTATTGAATCCTAAAGAATTACCAGGTTTCCTTTCTTCCGCGTTGCCTGTGTTTTTCCCTGGTGCACCTGCAGACGCCGCCCCCTTGGCCGCAGTAATCACAGAGCTCCCTCTGGGACCCGCTCCCATGCTTTCCGACTTTCTCTCTTTATCTTTTGCCCTATGAAATCGTCTGTACTTTGCCTTCCACTCTGTGTGTGTATGAGGGTGTGTGTTTTGGTTTTACTAATCATATTCTTAATTTCTAATGATCTTCTTGCCTCTTACACTTGGAATTCTCCTTTCACATGGCACCTGTGTTGGTTCATCTTTGTGTCACCTAGATCCTCTCTCCCCCTCTGTCCTTCACCCCTGTGCTTCCCAATGGGCGGCATCAGCAGAAGTTTGGAGGGTGAGCATTTGGTGAAGTCAGGGTACTTCTTACCCCCTCTTTGCCTTATAATCTCCTCTGCTCATTGTGTCCTGTTACTACAGCTCCCCTGGCAGCTGGGTCTCCGTAGCATAGCGCTGGGTGGCCTTGAGTGACCCTGCCCCTCCCCTTGTGTCTTCAGTTGCAGGAGTGACAATGCCTTGTCCCTGTTGTTTGTCTCTGTGGCCCCATAAGCCCATCATATAAAAAAAAACAAAAAACATTACTCACACCTTTATTCAGGACTCTTCATAGGAACCATCAGAAATAAATACTGTTTCCTGATGGATAACTAACCTGTTCTTAGGGGCATCGAGTGTTCTTGACGCTCTTTGAGAATTATCAGAACTTATATTAGTAAGTTCCCACCTGACACACGAATTCTGTTGTTCCCTGGTAATGTTCGTTCTTTTTGTGCGCTGTAGTTTCTTTAACTTGTTCATTCTTTCTAATGAGAATCTCCTTGGACTAAAACAGGGTTTCCTCTGCTGCCGTGCAGGTCAGGCTCCACCTGATGAGTCTCTGCCACCGCTTCCTGTCCACGGCATCCGCCTGGGCAGCAGGACAGAGCAGTAGTCCTGGGAACCAACCCCTCGCTGAGTTCTAGACAAAAAAATATAATCTTTTGTTCGGTATTGAAAGTCTTCTGGCAAGTGGATCTCAGCTTATCTTTTTGATTCCTTTTCTGGGCCCTGGGCCTAGACTGTGCTCCCCCTCTCGTTCCTGTCTCTGCACCTGTGACATCTGATTCTTAGTATGTCCTTAACTAGCCTGCCATCTACCTCCTTAGCCAAGTCTCGAGGGCCTTCCTCCTTCATTATTTACTCTGATGTCTACCACTGACTGCCTCCCCTTCGTCTGTTTGTCTTGTTACCTGCTAGAAGGTAAAATTTTTAGAGACTAAGATTTTTATATGCATTTATTCACTCTTTCCTCCTTCAAACACTTGTTTGTGTCATCTGTTCTTGGGGCTATCAGGTTAAGACGTGACAATGTCCCCACCCTCAGGGAGCTCACAGTCACCTGGGGAGACAAGCACTTCAGTGAGGAGGACACTGTGAAAGGGGTCACGATAAAGCCCAGAGCAGCAACTGCTCCTCTGGGGATGAAGGAGGGAGGTCAGGGAAGGCGGGGAGTGTCCGCCCTGTTTCCTTACCCTGGAAGGTGGTCAGAATGAAGGGAGATGGGCAGAGGTGCTTGTAAATACGGGTCAGCTGATGGAGCTCTATGCTTTTAGGTCGGACCAGGGGTGTCCAGCGCACACACTTCAGTAAGCCCTTTGTTCCAAAGTGATCCATTAGGCCATGCTGTCGTCATGTGGGTATTGCTGTCCAAGGAGGTCTCCACTGTCCTGAAGTGGTTGTAGGAGGGTGTAGAACGCGGGGACACCCCGCGATGATCCCCTGCAGCTGGGCTGGCTGCTGTGCTGAGGTCTTCGGGCCTTCCTCAGCCCCGCCCACTGCCGCATGGTGTTCAGGTGGGACTGCTTTAAACCCACCTGGCACTGGTTCGTGTTACTCCGAGCTGTGCTCCGAGTCACTAGAGACAGTGGTGGTTTAAAAAAAAACAAAAACAAAAAAACTAAGGTAAGAAGAAGACAAGGAAGGACATGCAAGGCTGCATTTGCCTATTTGTGAGCGAAATCACAGGCTCCTGTGGCTTCAGGAAGTCACTTCCCTCCGTGCTTTGCTAGGAGAGGCAGAAGGAAAAGCAGAAGGCAGGAGGGGAGGGGAGGGCTTGGAAGTCTTGCAAAACTCTGCCTGCTACTGGGATCATTTTTCATCTGGGAAGTAAGTATACAATACTGAAAAGTATGCAAAACATAAGTGAACACACAGTGGATTTTTACCAGTGGAAGCGCCTTCAGTTTCCCGCCAGGAGGAAGAAAGGTCAGAATGCAGGCCAGAGAGCAGCCAACCCCTCCAGCCTGCAGGCCCCTCCCCTCCCCTTCCGGAGGCGCCGCGAGAGTGCGTGGGTGGTCCGCTGCCGCTCCTGGGGTGCTCTGCTTCCTGCAGGTCAGTCCTGGCTTGGGAAGGGCAGGCACACGTTCCGGGCGGGGGGACAAAAGTCCAGGCCAGAGGCTGTCAGATGGGCACAGGTCTCAGGCAGAGTGAGTTTTGCAGCGCTCCGGCTCCCCGTCCTATCCTCGGTGGGAATTAGTCTGGAGAGCCGAGGCAGGAAGAAAAAGTGCTGCAGATGCGGCTGGGATTGGCTGGGACATGTGTGAGCAAATATCTGCTTTTCTGCAGAAATTCAAGTCCCAGAGGAGATGGCCATTTCTGCAGGGGAAGGGACGTGTGAGGGAGCCGGCCATAACCCAGGCAGTGCGCCTCGGTAGCCGCCGATCGGGTTCATCAGGCCCCGCCCCGCCGCCCGAGCTCGGTGCAGGAGGGGGAGGGGCTCCCCTTCCCGAGGCCACATTTCCTGCCACCAGCCAGGCAGTGCTGGTGAAGAGCTTTCACGTCGGCCTGGGACACACCTGAGCACAGGTCCTGGCCTGCCATTTAATAGTGTTGGGACTTGGACACTTATTTTTACTTCTTTGAGCCTCAGTTTTATGAACCAAGAATGGTAGAAATAGGAGCTACCTGGCAGGGATGCCTAGAGGCTGAAATGAAATGCTCCCTGTCAGCAAATTGGTGGTGGGGCTGCTTAAATAAGACCCCTCCTTGCTGACCAACTGGTCCCAGATGTCTGCTCTCAAGACCTCTTTTCTCTTTGCTTTTTCCCAGCCAGCATTAGGCTCTTTCTGCTCCAGAATGTTGAAGAGCCTTTTGACTCAGGTCAAAGGAAATGACTTAGTATATCTGATTCTCTCGCACTTAAAGGCTTCTACCGGCTCTGTCAATAGACCATGTTATTATTTTTTAAATCCTCACGCAAGAATATTTTTCCATTGATTTTTTAGAGTGGAAAGGAGGGAGGGAGAGAGAGAGAAACATCAATGTAAGAGAGACACATTGATTGGTTGCCTCCCACACAGTCCCAACTGGGGCCAGGATCAAACCTGCAACCCAGGTACATGCCCTTGACCAGGAATCGAACCCACAATGCCGGCCAAGGCTCTGACCACTGAGCCAAACCTGCTAGGGCTGGACCATATGTTTTTTTGTTTTGTACATTCTAGGACTTGATCTGGTAGAAGTTGAGCAGAGGGTAGGAAGAAGAACCACAGGGCATGTGTAACACAGAGAAGACTGATGGACTTCACAGTTGGATAACAAGGGGCAGAGGGAAGGGAGAGTGTGAGGCGCGCGCGCTCACACACACACACACACACACACACACACCCAGATGGTCTTTTTGAAAATAATGGCTGTGGACTTTTAGTCATTTTATTATCAACAATCTGGTTTTCTTTCCTATGTGGTTTGTAAACATGCCTTGAGGCTAGAATGTGATGGGCATATCCAATCAATAGCATACATACTACTTAAAAGCGCAGAGTGAATCTAGCCCACTGATGCTCGGCTGGAGTAATTAAAATAAAAGCAAAGATGTCTGTATGTGTGTGCAGAGAGGAAGGCCAGTTACTGCTTCTTTGTACTGCTTGGCAGTTAGAGATTTTGCATATATTTTCTGCCCAAATACTAATTATTACTTTAGTCACTTGGCTGTCGATGGGTTATCTTATGGTATCGGTTTCAAGTCACCATAATTTGGAATTCATAGACTCTAAATCCAGAAAGGGACCTGCTTTACAATCCAGGGTTTTCTAGGGTGAGTTCAGTGGAACACTAGTTGGTTGGTAAGGTCTGTTGCAAAGAATTCCGTGGCGGGGGAAATGTTGCATGTTGTAGTTCCTCCTGGAACCATGGTGGGTAGAGTTAACCTCCTGCAAGCCCTGAAAGAAAGAAACCTGTGTAGGGGATTATCCAACCTTTCCTCAAATCTATTTGAACACAGAACATCTCTTCAAGTAATGCCTGTTAAATCTTCCAGAACAAACACGCAGAAACACTATCTCCATCCCAAGCCTTCATTTTAGAAATGAAAAGCAAAGGCCAAAGAAATTATTTGCCCAAGTTTTCTATGTAGTAAAACTCTTGTATTCTGTTCCCATGCTGCAAATCAAACATCATTATCTTGTACTCGAAAGAAGACGCTAATGGGAAGGAATCCTTTCTCTGATGGACTTGACCGAATAGCTTTCCTTTACTTGCTTTTGGATTTTTTCTGTATTCTGGGTTTCAAAATATAGTACAGCTTACTGTGTAACCATGTAAACTCTATTGTAATTATAATTTTATTTCTTTTGAATCTGCAAGCTTTCTCTACTCCCTGAAGCCTGCCTTTTATTCCGACCCCCATGACTCTACACTTTAAAAATGCCACTGTCTTTTGTTCTTCACCTTGAACATTACCCCAGGTAATGGATCTGGGGACCGGCTGTTTTGCTCCCAGAGTGTATGCAAATTCCCGTGCACTGTAACATTTTCTTGAAGCTGGAAGACTTCTGCATAATCTGTTACTGTAAAAGAAAATTAATCGCTGTTAATTCATCGTTTTCCCCTCAATGACAATTTCTCTTGATCTCCGTGCTGGTAAAGAGGTATTGAGTGTGCTTGGTGGCAGCTGCGGCTGTGCCATTTCCTTGTGCGGTGACTGCCTACCCAAAGCAGAGCTCCTCAGATGTGGCCGCAGAGCAGCACCGCAGGTCTCGCTGCCCGTCTGTTTTGAGCCACAGCGGCCACTGAGTGTTCTGGAAACTTTGGAACAACTGCACTGTCTTCATCATTGCAGAATTGGTGATACTTGATACGAATTTGCTGTGGTTCAGCCCAACAAACATTTGTATACTCGGTGTCAACACATGTGCTGGGCTCTGGAGATATTTTTTTCCTCCAATTTTTATTAATTTATTTTCATTACAGATGTTTCTCCTTTTTCCTCTCTAGACCCCCTCCTGCCCACCCCCACCCCCCAGCATTGTAGTGCAAGTCCATTGGTTATGCATACTTGCATGTAAGTTCTTTGGTTCATCTCATTCATTCCCCCCGCCCCCCTCCTCTGAGGTTTGTCAGTCTGAACCGTACTCCTTTCTATGTCTCTGGGTCTATTTTGTTCATCAGCCCAACTTGTTCATTATATTCCACAAATAAGTGAGATCATGTGGTATTTGTCTTTCTCTGATTGGCTTATTTCACTTAGCGTAATACTCTTGAGGTCCCTCCATGTCATCTCAAAGGATAAGAGATCTTTCTTTCTTACAGCTGCATAGTACTCCATTGTGTATATGTACCACAGCTTTTTTATCCATTCGTCTACTGATGGACACTTGGGCTGTTTCCAGATCTTAGCTATTGTAAATAGTGCTGCTATGAACATAGGGGTACATGTATTCTTCCTGATTGGTGTTTCAGGCTTCTTAGGGTATATTCCTAGAATTGGGATCACTGGATTAAATGGCAGTTCAATTTTTAATTTTTTGAGGAAACCCATATTGTTTTCCTCAGTGGCTGCACCAGTCTGCATTCCCACCAGCAGTGTACTAGAGTCCCCTTTTCTCCACACCCTCGCCAACACTTGTTTGATGATTTGTTGGTGGCAGCCATTCTGGTAAGTGTGAGGTGATACCTCATCGTTGTTTTAATTTGCATCTGGAGATTTTTTAAAATGTATTAGCTCTTGTTGCTGCCTGGAAAGAGCTCACCTCTGGTGGGAGGCCCAGCTTCTAAATGAACACGTCACAGGGTGGAAAGGGCTGTGTGTGCGGCGTGCGCCTGCGAAAGCGCAAGAAGGGGCGGATTCAGGGGGAAAGGTTTGCACAAAGGGGTGCACCTTATGGCTTCCGAAGGCTAAGCAGGAGCTGCTCTGAGGGCCAGGGCGTGTGGTGATCATGTGCAGTGTGACGGATAAGTGGTAGACTCCCGTGCCTTCCTGGTCTCTGCTCTGCTCCCAGAACTCTTGTTCCCAAGTCAGATCTTCTCCCAGAATAGGCGGTGCATGGAAATGCATTGCTGTCTTACAAAGGAAAACGCTCCGTGTCACTCCAGTTACACAAGTTCCAGGGTACTCCTTCAGGAGTCCTCCCCATAATTATCTTCCTCGGCACAAGTATTCCTACCACCTCTCTGGTGCTCACGACAGACCAGTCTTTGTGCTGGGAAGCTCCTGTTTCTGTGTGTTTATTTTCCATGTGACCCTCACGGTGACCCCATGAAGCCTCGCTTCCCAGACTCGTCTGCATGTTGGAAGGGCCGGGGAGCTTCCCAGTCTACTGATGCCTGGACCCAGCCCTAGGGACTGGGATTCAGTTGATCTGGGCACAGCCTAGGCTTTGGATTTTTAAAGGATCCCCAGACAGTGACAAAAATTCTTTAAAATTGATTGTAATGCTGGTTGTACAATTCTGAAGAGATTAAAAACCATTGAAATGTACACTTTGAATGGGTGAATTGTATGGTATGCAAAGTATAGCTCAATACAGCTCTTTACAGAAGCCCTGGCCAGGTAGCTCAATTGGTTTGAGCCTCTTCTGATACGCCAAGGTTGCGGGTTTGATCCCCAGTCAGGGCACATACAAGAATCAACCACAGCCCTAGCCAGTTTGGCTCAGTGGTTGAGCGTCGGCCTGTGGACCAGAGAGTCCCGGGTTCGGTTCCTGCTAGGGGCACGTACCACCAAAAAAAAAAAAAATCAACCACTGAATGCATAAATAAGTTGAACAACAAATTGATGTTTCTTTCGCTCTCTCTCTCTCTCAAATCAATAAATTAAAAATAAACACACACATAGCTTCTACATTAAAAAATATCCTAGGTGAATAATTTGGGAAGCACTGCTACATAGTAGATGGGAAAAGTGAGACCCAGAGAAACTGAGTAAGTTGATCAAACACCCGGAGCAGCCCGGGTGGACTGGGAACCAGGCATCTGCAACTAGAGCCTGTGTTCTGATCAGGGACACCGTCCTGTTGTCTGCAGACAGGAAGATGCCTGCTAACCCTGACTCAGCAGTCCCACCTTAGAGAAGTCCTGATGGCTTGGCTCCCAGCCACCCGCTCACCTTCAAT